GGGCGGGCGGGAGAGGGCACAGGCTGCGGCTGCTCCGGCTGCTGCCTCTGCTGGTCTGGGCCCTAAAATCTTTTAAAGATTAGATAAAATCTCCCAAATATTTTCAACACTTTTGGCCTTTGGAATGGACCTAGGTTGCTAAGAGGCCCAAGGACATTGTGAGTTTTAGCCAATAAATTGGCTGTTTTTCTTTGGGGTCTTTTTACCCTAACTGCCTAGCTAATTCCTACCTCCTATTCTTATCACACCATCCTCTGAAGAGGTTACCCAAATTGCCAATAGGGAATAGAGATGCTGACCACTCTGGCTTCTTCCATGCTGAACAGGCTAAGGCAACTGGAGTACACCTTCAGTGGGTCTAGCTAAAAGACTCCAAATTGCATACCTCTTATCCCGAGGAAGAAAAGTCTTTGAATCGTGAATAGGAGATGTGAAGGAGAAGTAAAGGCAAGAGTAATTAGCACTACAAGTACCAGACAGGGAACTAGAAAAAAAGTCAGAACAGGGCAATTTTCAAATGTTCATATGAGAGTCCATTGGAATTTCTTGAAAAGGGCTTCCAAAGGTATCCCTCTATTGGGTTCCTCCTCAATTTTCTTTTGTCTTCCAAGGATGGACTCTAGAGTGATGGATTCAGGATTTGCTTTCAGGTATTTTGATAGCTGTTGGAGTGGTTAAAATCAGTGTCAGTTCCCTCTCAAAGGCTTCTAGATAGGAGGAGAAAACAAATTTATCATTTTAGAACAATAGCTGGTTGTCTCCCTTAGCTACAGTTGGGCACTACAGTATTGCAGACCAAGATTTGAAGTCTTACATCTGTGCACCAATTTCTGGTTAGGAACAAAACCATCAATGAGAAAGAATTATCTAAATAACTTTTTATATAGACGTAAGCCTAATGTCTTGGAAGTGTAATCTCTTGAACTCCTAAGGAAATATACTGATGACTTTACTCTTTGGTTATACTTTCCTTTTGAATGTTTAAGATCATAGAGTTGGCCCAAATAAATCAATTTATTTTTACACCTAAGGTCATTTGAGATCTGTTCCTCGGGGGGTCACATGGGATTGGGAGGAGTTCCTGGCTCCTTTCTTTTACCAGTTCCATCTATGTGAAGATAAGTCAAAGGTCCTGCTCAACCATGTCTGGCTTCACTT